CTTTTTTTTCGAACACTACCAACTTTTAATATTAGGTACTTTCTCCAAAATCACTTTAAAAATCACTTTTTTGAAGTAGAAACAATCTCAAACACTCCCTATGTACCATAAATACAAGTATTTCTGCACTTTCACACAAACAGTACAACTTCTATGGAGTAGAAACAATTTTAAGAATCAGATCTTAACACCCCCTAAATATGCAACATCTTTCATTGAGATGAGTTTTGAATATGTGAAACTCTTAATGATGTCATCGAATCACAATGTGATTGGTTACATTTGTGATGTGATGATAATTTTAAGACAATGACAATTTAACAAAAAATTTGTCTCATACACACCTTGTGTGCATATTTTTTTACACATTTTTTTAAGTGAATAGTTTTTTTTCCAGAGTTACGCAGTTGATAATGAATTGATAAAATGAGAATAAAGATAAAATGAATAAAATCACAAAAATATATCAAATATGGTATGAGCCAAATTTAATGGGACGAAAGGAATACTGAATTAAAGTCAATTTCCAAAAATGTGACTACTTCTATTTGGGAAAACGTTATGTCATTGATTTTTTTTAAATGTTTGTGCAGTTTTCAATGTTATTGAAAGTTGTCATTTCCATCCATATCAAAATTTCTCTCCGGTGATGAAATCTCATGTAATACTTGTATTAATTTAGAAGGATTGATAGTACTACTCGTACCAATAAAATGCATCTCCTTTTAAGAGAGTTCATTTCTTAAGAATTTCAATTCAAGCGCGTCAGCATCAAAGTAGTCATGTGATGAGTGAGCCCCTGGGAAGACTCTCAGGGAGCGCACAAGTGAGAAATTTAGGGGAGTAGGATTCTCTGAAAGTGTGTTGATCCGGTGGATAACGGATGAACACTCAGGAGAGTAGGATTATGAGGTTTGATTGAGATTGGTTTATGGGCGCAACGAGGATGTTGCGTTCAATTCCCAAGTCGGGGGTAATTGTAACACTTGAGATTAATTTAAATGGATTCACAGTACTACTCATACCAGCAAAGTGCATCTCATTTGAAGGGATCTGATCAGTTAAGGACTCCAAGTTAAGGGTGCTTGCACATGAGTAGTGTAGGTTATGCTGACACTCACATGTTATTTGTTGTATATTACTCCCTCCGTCCCTATTATATCTTCCAAATAGGTTTGGCACGGAGTTTAAGATAGTGGGTATTGTGTGGTGGAGAGTTGTGCAGAGGAGAGAGAAATGTGTAGGAATTGCTGTGAACCACAAATTCTGGCCAAAAAAGGAAAGTGGAAGTTTTAATTGGGACGGACGAAAAAGGAAAGTTGGAAGTTTATTTAGGGACGGAGGGAGTACATGTTTGGTTGATGATCTGGAATATATGTGGTTACTTTACTAACAAAATATGTGTAATATATGATTAGTCTATGAGTATGCTAATTGGAGTGGGTAATTTGTGTGGGCTCTCTCTCTAGCTTTGAAACCGCTTACTACGAGTTTCAATAGTGTGATGTCACATGCACCCATGAGCGCTCATAACCTTGCATTCACATTTTTTTGGCAATGTTTCGTAACCTATTGTGGTGTCAGCTCTATGTTAAGGTCAACATTCTTGAATTGTGATGTTTGAGCCTGTGATCTCCTCTTTGGAAGTATCATAGTATTGTCATCGGACTACAATATACTTGGTAACCTGACATCCACTTATAAACTTTAAATCTGTAATACCCCAAAATTTTGAGAAACTTTGAGAATTAGTTAAATTTGTGTGCCATATCTTTTAGACGGACTCTAGATAGTTTATTATGTTTGGTTTAATGTTTAGGCCCATGGGAAGAACCAATCATGAAAGAAACAAAGCAAAAACTAAAGTTTGAGATGTGTGGGAAACCCGCACGACGTGCACATAATACCGTGCATAACATGCACACTTTAAACAAATTCTGCCAAGTCCGCACCGTAGTCCGCACAACGTGCGGCTGACCGTGCGTGCACCTGAAATTATGGTAGCATGCCGTTTGTACAGCATGCACATCCCTTTTTGGCCCAGTTCGACCTAATTACAGATTTTTAGGGTAAATACGTCCCTAATCCAAAGTGATCAATCAACCTAATCTATCCAAGATGAATTTTGAGACCAAGAAAGTGATCAATCAACCTAATCTTTCGATAAATACATAATTGACGATTTCCTTATGTTTCGTTATTTATTTGAATTCTCTCTCATAAGTTGCAACCCCACAACTTTATATCTCCCTAGGAACGTGTGTGTAATCTCTCAAGACAGGATCTACGTTTAGAACTCGTCGCTAGGCTCAAGGTAAGGACTATTGCAACCAGAATTATTACTTTGCCCATATTATGTACTTGTATTAGTTAGGGGTTGAGCTTTGATTTGAGATTATTTATGAAATTTTATGTTTAATTCGGCCATGATGGACTTATTTGATAATGATATTATTTTCTAGGAATATTGGAATGTGTGAATTTTGAGTAATTAGTTATTTTAATTACTATTGTCGAAATTGTGAATTGTGAGAAATCGACTTTCTGGCTTGGAAAATTATGGAGATTATTGTGAGACAAATTATATATTTTAAATGTATAATTTGGTATGAATATTTACATATACATTATGGAATTAGAACTATCCTTATTGGTTTATTTTGAGTATGAGATTAAATACTACTCCGTATTTTAGAACTAATATTGGACAAAACCCTAGATTGTGAACTATGACTGTGAATTTGATATGTTATGCATATAATTTCTAGATATTAATATGATTTAGATATTCTGAAAACAGTGAAAAGTATATGAGACTGAGATCAAATTATTATTGATGAGCTATAAATACCGATTTCATAATTATGATTTGTGAGTATTCCGTAGAGAAATTCAGCATTCTAATGGGTTATGACTTTATTGACTGCTATACCTATGTAGCGAATTTCCTTTTATATTGTTTGAGTTTCTTCTTTGGCTATAGGGTAGGGATGTCAAAACAACCCGACCCGCAATGACCCGCCTTGGCCCGAGACATTTGGGGCGGGTCCGCCCCGCCCCGTCTTGCAAATGGGACGGGTCCGCCCCGCCCCGCCTATACAATGGGGCGGGTCCGTGTATTAGTATTGACCCGTGCCGCCCCGACCCGTTCAATATATAAGTATACATACTTTTTCTTAAATTATACTACAAATATACTTCAACATACATATGTGTTTATACAATAAATCATAATTTTTTTATCTTATAATATATTAATATCTATATATTATAAAGAGGTGAGCGATGAATTGTCAATGTCTTCTTTGTATATAGCATTTTAATACATATATTCAATTATTAATATAATTAAATAGATTAACTATTCAAGCCTGACTAATTTTTCCTTAATTTTTGAAATATTTAGCGTATCATGAATTTGATTTAATATATTAATTTTTAATTATTATTTAGAGATAAACTTTATGTAGATTCAATGAGTAACAACTTCCACAAATAAAAATACATACTAGCAAATTAGGTTACGACGGGGCGGGGCAGACCCGCCCTGCATGGGGCGAGTCATGGGTCAACAAGTTTGGACCCGTGCAGGTCTTGCAGTACCCGCCCGCCCTGACCTATTGCTAGGCCAGGGATCGGTTTGGTTATAGTTAAAATTCGATGGAACCGTATGAAAAATTATATGCGTTAAATTCAGTTCGGTTCTAGTTAAAAATGTAGTTGTTAAATTTGGTTCGATTCTAGTTAAATTCATTTCGGTTCTTACATTTTTTCGGTTCCTTGTAAAAAATTATTATCCTCATAAAATGAACACATTTTACCTTGAGTTACATAAATTAAATAAAAATTTCAAATGTTAAATCATAAAATTATAACCATTACATTATACATACATGATATCCCAATGTTCAAATATCACAAAAATATCCAAGTGCAAACATTAAGTTTAAACATTAAAAAAAAAGATAAATGTTTAAAATAAGCATCAACTATCAAGTAAAAAGGTTAAATAGCTTCAAGGTACACATCCAATAGCCGGTAGTTCAACCCCAAAGTAATATTCTTCTACTAGTATTGCACCACAAGTAAAAAGTACGTAGTAATAAACTGACTGATAATATTTGTAATTTACTATAAACAAATAACAATGTAATCAATAGAGTATTAATTGGTGTTGTAGTTGAACTCAAATATAAGATACAATTACAAACAACAGGAATTTTATCTATTTAGGATCCCAAAGAATTAGCCTGACAAATATTCCTTACAAGAATTTTCCACCCGCAACGCCGTATAGCCACCTCCATTTGAGATTCTTTCGGATGAGATTTCATGATGATTATATCCACCAAATTTCAGTTTAAAACGCAATCAGAAAATGAGTTTATTAAAATATTGAAAACATTGTGTTTTTTTTTAATATATTTTGGCGTAGTGGTTTTCAATAATTTATTTAACTGATTTCACGATTGAATTTTAATCTCAAATTCGGTGGACATAATTTATATTTCATGAAAAACAAACTAACAAAATTTCATCAAAAAATTCCACCCAGAAGCTCCTCAAATGAATATTACTCATGCAATGTATAAGAAGTTCGGTTCCTGCCTAGGAACCGGAACCGAATTGAAACCGAACCGGAACCGAACCGAACTGAAACCGAACTGGAACAGAACCGACAATATACTATGAGAACCGAACCGAAAAAAGCTGAAGTCCAAAGTTATAGGAACCGAGCCGAACCGGAAAATTCGGTTCGGATCGATTTTCCCGGTTTTACGGTTCCAAGTCTGGGGCCTACTACATCGAGTCATTCACTCAGTCATTCAAGTGCCTCTTTTTGATGGAATATTTGTGCCACCGTCGGATGAATTAGTCGGCGAAACCAACGAAATCGGCGAGACTCCAACTGTATTGGACACACTTGTACACGTGGTTTCACACCATTGGGTTACAGGAGAAGAATATATAATTGTCAATTTATCATTATAATTATTTTGAAAAAGAATCAGAGAATTCCATCGCACAGAAAATAGAAAATAATAATCACAGTAACAGAAAAAAGCAAAAATTTCTTTGTGCGATCACACGCATACCATCCAGAGAAAGAACACGATTCGATCATTAAATTAAACTGCTTTAATTCTTGAATGATTTGGTTATCTCCGCCGTGATCTCGCCGAGCAGTTAACCAGTGATCAGCGAGGTTGATCCCAAGGACGACGCCTCTAGGGTTTCAAAAATGGTCAATTCTATGGTGGAGAGGGCCACGAGCGACATGCTTATCGGCCCCGATTGGGCCATGAACATCGAGATCTGTGACATTTGCAATCACGACCCAACGTATGTACCAACCTCTTACTTGTTTATGTGCTTACGAACTTTGTTTTAAATGCCGCGTGTAAGTTGTATAGCCAGGTATTATCTTTAGCTTGTGAATTTCAGCTGCTATTTCTTGAGTTCGAGCAATTTAAACAAAATATTTGAACTTTTGAACATTCTAGCGCAAGTGAAATTATTAGGGCTGAACGGATTTGGGGGTTGAACCTAAGTGTGATCTTCTAGTGGAGGGTAGAATGGTGGAATTAGCTGTTTATTTTGTATTTTTCCTTAGCAAGATATTTACTTTTCTTCTAAGATTGAGTCAACTCAGTTCCTTAATTTTATGGTTTTGTTTTTAAATATGCTTGAAAAGCAGAAACTTTTGTTGCTAATATGATAGCTAAGTATGTTTAAGTTCCGTGAAGAGTCTCGTGTGGGATGTTTTGGGCTCAGTAGCTTTTGTGTCTGTAGGCCGCTAAGGTGTTTCCTGAATAGTTAGAGAGCACAATGATATTTTATAAGATGTTCTTCACAGTTGGCGCTATCAATTTCATTCCATTTCTTTTCTAAATGTTAAAATCATTCTTCCTGACCTGAAAAAAGAAACAATCAAACCAATTTGTGGTCTTATGTTGTGCTCAAGCATAATTTGGTGTTGGAAGGAAAGCTTTTTTTGTCCCTAACTGAGTTGGTTTTTATCAAGATTGAAGTCAATTTAGAAACCCAAGGGTATGTTGCTTTTAATCATGGTGGTAGCGGTGTGTAGGCATGGTGTGACACCAACGAACCACCATGTCGACTAGGCGAGCGCCTAGGAGACAAGTAGCCGTTTGCAATACTCGAACATATTATCACAGATATAATATGATATATAGTACATGAATTGCTTATTCATCATATTAACTAAAGCGAGTGCAATATCCATTTCAAATGCATTAAAATACAAAATTTTAGCAAAATGAGGGCGATGCGATTGACATCTTAAGAAAAGGTTAAGGATAAGTAATAAAATGAAGAAAATAGAATATAGAAGGAAGATATGCAAGGAAGAAAATGCAAACATGGCAGTTTGGACTGCTGGGTCAAATAGATTTGGCAGAAAATCTTTTGTGGGCGTCATATGAAGACCTAGTTAACGTCTAAGCAATGTCATTCAATATTCGGCTTCTTCAGGCGAGGCGACCAGCTGTGGCAAATGCTTGCCACCACCTGGATGCCTAAGCATCGCCCAGTTGACACTGAGACGATGCCACGACAACTATGCTTTTAATTAGTTCATACAGTAGAAAGCATTTTCGAAGAAGTTACACAATCTGGAAATATAGAGACAGACTTAGCATTATCTAAAAGATTAGTGTTAATTATTTCCTTAGGATCAGAAGAATTACTAATCACATGAATAATTGAATACAGGACAAGATATGGCATTAGTTAATGGTATAGTTGCCACTAAAATATGATAAGGACTTCAACCATAAAGCTACTAAAGCTGAAGCCAAACAGGTTCTGAATGATAGCCAAACAGGTTATCAGTGCAAGTACATTTTCACGTGTCTTCTGTATCATAATGCAAAATGACGATGGGATACATTTTACCCTTTCCCCCTCCATTTACAGTGATAATTGTCAACAGTTTGTAGTTGATTAATTTGTTATTGACCAGTCGTTTTCTTTTGGTATAATTGCTTGTCTTGATGCCTACTTACCAGGCAAGCAAAGGATATTGTGAAAGGAATTAAGAGACGACTGAGCAGTAAGAACCCAAAAGTTCAGCTTCTTGCATTAACAGTAAGTTTCATAGTTTTTTTGCATAGTTATCTTCTATTCCTCTCTCTCTCTCTCTCTTCTTTGTTCTAGTTTTTCTCTTTCCGCAGTTCTACCTTCTCAACAAATGAAAGATTTGAACTAGTGCTTGAAACCCTGTATGCTTTTCTGTTGAAGTTATCTTATTGTAAACAGAACTTTTCCATACCTGGGTGCTTTTATTAGGTGTATTACTTACTGTTTCATTTTTTTTTTTTTTGGATTTTTGGCAAAAGGACAATCCTAGTTCTGATTAAAAACAATCTGTTCAGACTATCAGGATTAAGATTTTGTATTGTGGGGAGAATTCGTCAATATGAGAGTGTTTGGCATCCGACCTATAGTATACAGAAGAGGTTCAGACTAATAACATGTTGTGTTTGGCAGAGCTGCTACAATAATATGATTCTGAAGCAAAATAACATGAAATAGAATGATAATCAGAATGAAAATTCAGAAGCATTTGGTGAGGTGTTCATGAAATTAATCAGTTTAGTACTCTAGAATCACATCCCAAAACATGTATTGTGGGGAGAATTCGTCAATATGAGAGTGTTTGGCATCCGACCTATAGTATACAGAAGAGGTTCAGACTAATAACATGTTGTGTTTGGCAGAGCTGCTACAATAATATGATTCTGAAGCAAAATAACATGAAATAGAATGATAATCAGAATGAAAATTCAGAAGCATTTGGTGAGGTGTTCATGAAATTAATCAGTTCAGTACTCTAGAATCACATCCCAAAATATTGCCATTTGCCAAATATGCACAAAAGCCCAACCCGATTTTTCTTGCTATTCTCGGGAGCAGAATCAGTTCCCATAACCATTAAAGAAACATGTTCATAAACAGTGTATGAATTCATTTAAACTCTTTGAAGTTTAGCACATGAGACAAAAAATAGTAAATTTCACTGAATGAAAATTTCTAATGTTCATTATAGTATTTGATCTGATGTCAGCTTAAATTTTTTTCTTCATTTCAATTTTATGAGGGAAGAGATCAGTCCTCCTGGGTTACTTGAGATTTATTCCCTCTTCTAGAGCACAAGTTTGTTGCTTTCTGAGTCTCGGAGATATAGCTAATTTCTATCTTTCATTGGACACTTGGACCGATATTAGTTGCTTACAAGCTCACCACGACAATACCATGACCTTAAAATTACTGCAGCTCCATTCAATATCTTTGATGTTCTATGAATAATTTAAATTGACATGTGTGGTGTATTTTTGAACTCTTATATATAAAAAATGATATGTTTAAAATGTGCCCATTCTCTTTTGTAAAACCCCTTTTGGTCTTCAGCCCATATGCTTGCTTAAAATTGCTGAAATGTTGAACTATTTAATTGGATTTTTTCTTTGTGCGATCTTTTAATTTCTAGCTCTTGGAGACAATTGTGAAAAATTGTGGAGACATTGTTCATATGCATGTCGCAGAAAAAGATGTCCTTCATGAGATGGTGAAAATTGTGAAGAAGAAGGTTATTTTTTTGCCTTTTGGCCTTTCTAGTTGACAATATGATATTACCGACTGGTTAGCACAGGGGAAAAACAATGGTACTAATATACCTATTTTGCAATTGTAGCCTGACTTTCATGTCAAAGAAAAGATATTGACCTTAATAGATACATGGCAAGAAGCTTTTGGAGGAGCAAGGGCAAGGCATCCACAATATTTTGCTGCATACCAGGAGTTATTGGTAAGTTGCACACACGAGTATTATCTCACACTTTCATTTGTGAACTTATTTTTACATGAAATAAAGACTAAAATGAAACCCAGGACTTTTCACTTTCCAAAAGTAGAGCCAATTTTCAATTGGACAAAAAAGAGACTAAGCAACGATAAATAATACTGCGGACCGGCCACTTCCCCTTCGTCAACAAAGACTTGCGGACCACTTACCCTTCGTCAACAAATGGCGAGGTAGCTGGAAACAATAGAGATTGGAGACTTGGACACCGGAGACGGCCAGCACCAACGACGCCGAAGACGGCAACCACTAGCGACGCGACCGCCAGCAACGTCGACGGCCAGCGACGCCGGAGTTTACAGCGGTGAGCTTCGTCTTCGATCTGCCAGATTCATCCAATCGACAATGAGATGGGCCAAATTTAAGTGTCGATGGCGGCCTGGGGACAAATCTATTCTCAACCATCTGAGGATTTGGGGAGGAGACTGAAAAGGGGCTGGTCGGGAAGGGCTGGGGGCTGGGGAAGGGTGATTGAGGAGAAGGGGCTGCTGGGGGCTTGGGAAGGGTGCTTGACGGGGGTTGGGGGCCCTGGTTGCTTGGGTATGGTGCTGGATGGGGGCTGTTGGGGGCAGGGGCTGGGGAGAGGGTGCTGAGGGCTGCAGAGGTCTGGGTGAGGGTACTGAAGGTGGGCTGTGGGTTGCTGGAGGCTGGGGGAGGGTGCTAGCAGAGGGCTGGGGGGCGGTGTTGAAGAGGGCTGGGGGATGCTGGGGGGCTGGGGGCTGGGGAGGGGGCTGGTGATTGATGGGTGGCGGCTGTCACTACCAGGCGGTGGCGGCGATCCCCGCCGGACAGCGACGGTGGTCAATGCGGTTGTCGGGGGTGGCGGTGGTCGGGGATGGTGGTGGTCGGGGCAATGGTGGTTGGGGCGGCAGTGTCGGTGTTGGTTGAATTGGTCGTAGTCATTAATTGGGTTGGTCACGATCATTAATTGGGTTGGTCACGGCCGGATTGGTCACAGTCAGATTGGTCACAACCGGATTGGTCACGGTCGGATTGGTCACGGACAGATTGGTCACGGTCGGATTGGTCACAGACGGATTGGTCACGGTTAGGTAACTGTAACTGGACGAGTCGGATAACTGTAACTGACGAGTCGGGTAACAGTAACTGGACGGGCCGGATAATTGTAATTGACGAGTCAGGTAACTGTAACTGGACGGGCGTAACTGACGGGTCGGGTAACTGTTACTAGACGGGTCAAGTAACTGTAACTGGATGAGTCAGCTAATTGTAATTGACGGGTCGGGTAACTGTAACTGAACGGGTCGGGTAACTGCAAATGATGAGTTCGGTAACTATAACTAGTCGGATAATTGTAATTGGCAGCGAGTAACTATAACTAATCGGATCGTGTAGCTGTAAATAGCAAGTCGGATAATTATAAATGGTTGAATCCGGTAATAGTAACTATATATAAAAATCATATAATTTTTTTAATGTTTTTTTAATCATATAATTTTTTTTAATGTTGGAAATGGTTATAGCATTTTGATGAAGCTGGAAGTGGCTGTTTGATTTACACGTACGAAACATTCATTAGTTGTTGGGGGTATATTTGATATTTTCATTCAAACGTTTTCAAATGATTGACACAGGTGGTCTCTTTTTTGGCTTTTACTAAAAGAGGTCCTAGATTTGTCAAACTACTTTTAATTAGTAATATCTATGACCTAACCCCTTTTTACATTGAGGTGTGAGAATTTGCAAATACCATAAGTTGGTTGTTGCCCGTTCAGTTTAACTCGCACTCTCCTTACTATTGTGTAGGCTTCAGGCTAAATATTCATTTTTGTTTATTGTAGTAGAGAGTGAAGAACTAAACATAACAATCTCGTAGCTCATTACTATGCATGAGTTAGCTTGTTATTCACCTTTCGATTTGCACCTATGCGATTCATTTTCTTCTTGTTCTTATTTATTTATTGATTTATTTATCATCCACCCACCCACCCATGTATTTATTTATTAATTTATTTCTTTATTTACTTGTTTTGCTTATTACAGTTTTGATGTTTTTGTTACGGACCTAGCTCATACTAGGCCCATACCAAGGCCATAAGGCCAAGTGTAGAACCCACTCCCAAAAGATTATCCAATTAGTAGGAGAAGACACTTTGCTTATAAGCCACCAATCAAGCCCATTTTTTATTGGGATCGTTACTCAAGTATGGGCTTGATCGTGAATTATAATCCAAATGTCCCCTCCTAATTGGCTAATCTTTTGGGTATGGCCTTGGTATGAGCCTAGTATGAGCTAGGTCCGTAACAATTGGTATCAAATCCATCCCCATCTTCCGCGTCCCAACACTCGGAGCGGTAGCCTTCGGAGTGGTGACTTGGGCCTTGGGAGATGCCAACCGTGAGCAACATAGCCGTGACCAACGAGGACGTTGGCTCTTCGAAGCGTGGGGTAGTGTCACGATCCCACATCAGTCAAGTATTGGCTTGCTTGATCAGTGGCTTATAAGCTAAGTGTCCCCTCCTCCTAATTGGCTAGTCTTTTGGGAGTGAGTTTTACACTTGGGCTTATGGCCTTGGTATGGGCTAGGTCCGTAACTGTCTGCGCTTCTTTGTTATGAAGCAACAGTCAATCTATCCAATTTTCGACGTGATTTTCACTATGGGTCATCCGACCCCCTTACCCTACCGTAGGTGGGAGCCTTTGCGGCACTGGTGTAATGATGATGATGGAGTAAAACCTATAGAAGATAAAATGCAGGAGTCTCGATTGCGGTGGTTTGGTCATGTGCGTAGAAGACTAAGTGATGCATCTGATAGACAAGTTGAGAGTTGAGAGGTGGGGAGAAGAGGTGGGGAGGAGAGGGAGAGGAAGACCCAAACAGAATTGAATTAGAGGAATCAAAATTGATATTCTTCTTCTTGGGTTGGATATGAATATGACTTTGGAGAGAGCAAAGTGGAGGACACATATTCTCTTTTCTCTCTCTTTCTTTCTCTTTTTCTTTATCTTTTTTATCTTTCTATGTTCTTATGTTATTTTTAACTTTTGTCTTTCTTATGTTCTTTTATCTTTTTAACTTTTATCTTTCTTGTTATATTTTTTATCTTATCCATTTTATCTTTCCTTATCTTTTTATTTTTCTCATCTGTCTTTTCTTTTTGGCTTTGATATCATTGATCTATTTGTGTTAGCCGACCCCAAAATCTGTTAGGAATAAGGTTTGGATGTTGTTGTTGTATGTATGTTAAGTTAAATGCATTGGCTACTAAAACCACATATACTTTACCTTATTTTCTCATTTAATTAAACATCATTTTTGAAAATGTTGATGAACGTGATAAAACTGTGTTTAGTCACACCTGAAGTGCGGCTGCTATCTATATATGATCCTGGCTAAGCGCCTGCTTCCCTGGACCTTGCACACTAAATATATTATACAGCGAGTTTCCCTTTGATTTAGTTTTGCTCCTCATCTTTACTTTAACAATTTTGCTTAACCTTTCAGCGTATGGGAGCAGTGTTTCCACAGAGGTCTGAGAGGTCTGCACCTGTTATAACCCCACCACAATCCCATCCTTTGGTTTCCTATCCTCAAAATATTCGTAATGCAGAACCTAGAGAAGATGCTGCTGAGTCTTCAACGGAGGCTGAATTTCCAACTTTGAGGTGAATTTCAGTTCAGTATGCAGGTTGCTTTCTTGTTATTGGTTCAGTGTTCAACATCTCCTGCCATATAAAGATTATGAGTTTTTCCTGTCACTGTTCACTATAGTTTCTTCTATAAAATAACCAATAATATTTTTTCACTTTGCTTGGGGTCAGTTTGACCAGTATGATTGGTTTGGTTTGGTCTTCTAAATGTTCCAAAATGAGAAGCATTTAGTATGAGCATTTGACTGGAAAGGTTGAATTTGCATTTGGTAACATCCATTTCAGTCAAATTAGTAAACCAAAAGCTCTTCTTCATGCTGATAAACAAAATAAGCTTTTTGAGGCGACCAAACGGACCTATTTTTTTTAACTCTACAAAGTTCTCTTCCTTATTTATTTGGTTGTGGGAGCGTGAGGCGTTGCAATGGCGACGTAATGGGATGTGTGGTGTACTGAATACCCTCTTTCTCCCGTTGTTAATATCTGTATGTGCTTTGGTGTAAATATATTGACAATATGTAATGTTTTTATTCCTTATACTGTCATTGTCTCCTGCTAGCTTGTCAGAGATACAAAATGCGCGAGGTATCATGGATGTCCTTGCAGAAATGCTCAGTGCTCTAGATCCTGGTAACAAAGAGGTATCATCTCTACAAATGATATAGAGGGTAGACCTCTTTCACCCGGGTGCATAAATGCTGCCTTTGCTTTAATAAATCCAGCTACTTCTGCTGTCATTATGTCATTGATGAATTAGTTTGTCTCCGCATAGCTGGGATTTTATGCTCTCAGTTGGACGTTGAGCATCTGCAATGGAGCTTTAGTCAGTTGATGGGATGTTCTCCACAACATGATTGTTGGTTTTGTATAAAAGTAAAATTACTTCTGTTTAATGCTGAAAGAACTTTCTATCTCTGCATCGTGAATGGCAGGGGCTTAAGCAAGAGGTTATTGTGGATCTGGTGGAACAATGTCGTACATACAAGCAGAGAGTTGTTCACCTTGTAAACTCAACTTCGTAAGGATCCACTATAATCACTTTTCATGCATAATATCCCGGTATCATGAATTTCTCGTGTAACTTTTTACTTTCAATTACTTGTTGTGTGGACTACAAAAACTTATAGATAATACTCTGCGTTTTTTTGAAAAATTCTGTGTTCACAGTCAAGAGAATTCACCATTAGCTTCTTTTGAAGTGTTAGAAGATTCGAATTTCAAAACCCTTTCTTCTTGAACAACTTTAGTTGCATATATTATGCTATATATTTGTTTGAAAGGATTCAGCAGAATCTGTAATGAATGCCTCTCCGTTATTGTTTTTTATTTATCTGTGTGTCTGTCTTTATTTTCCTTGTTAATATTCGCAATCTTAATGAGTTGAAGGGCATGATGAAAAGTGATTACTTTGACTGAAGTTTACTTCATGCAGGGATGAATCTCTTTTATGCCAAGGACTAACATTGAATGATGACTTGCAACGAGTCCTTGCCAAACATGAAACCATTGCTTCCGGAGCTTCTTCTTCCCAAAAAGAGAAACCTAAACAGCCTGAACCTGGTCCACCTCCCCTGAATGTTGATGCTCTTCTTATTGATACTGGTGAAAGCAAGCCTATGGACCAAGGGTGAATAAGATATCTTAACCATTTTCCTAGTTGTTCTGTGAAACTACTTCACATGTTAGATTTTTTTTTTTGTATATATAGGATAGGATTATAGGACCTTACCTCCAAATCATTTTTTCCCCAGAGCCTTAAACAAAGTTCAAAATGGCAAATTCTTTGCCTAGACCCTGCTTATTTCCATGAAAATATTATCACGGAAAATGTTTTCCTTATTTTCATGCACAATAGTTTTCCAATTTTGAAATTTTGTGGTAAGTGGCTAGTTCTTTTGAAAGAGGAAGTCATTTCCTCTAACAGTTCCATTTGTTTTTGTTGGCAAAACAATACATATAATGATAGATTAACTTATTTTCCTGCAACCAAATGGATCCAAGTAGATCACAGGATGATGTGTCAATTTTTATTTTTGTCACAGTTCTACGTCAAGGTCTAGTTTGGGATCACAGTTGCTGCTTCCTGCCCCCCCATTAGCTAATGATCCATCTACGACCCCTGCAAAAGCTGGCCCGAAGATCGATCTTTTGAGTGGAGACGATTTCACTTCACCCCCTGCTGAGAATCCATTAGCACTTGTTCCTGTTGGTGTGGTAGAACCTCAGCCAGCTAATCAAGATTCTCAGAACAATGCTCTTGTTCTTGTTGATATGTTTTCCAATACCAACAATCCTCATCCTACTTATTCAGTTAGCCAAACAGGCCCCTCTTCCTCGTCCCCTCAATTTCCTCAGCAGAAAAATATTCAATCCCCACCACAGCAATCATTTTACAGTAATGGTTCTCCATCTGGAACAGTGATACCCCAACATGAACACCCTCCATACCCACATGGATCTAATGCCACTGTATGGAATGGCCAGATGACCAGGCAGCAGCAGCAGCCAGCATCTCCAGTTTATGGTGATTTTTCTTTCTTTTGTTTCTTGAGTATCTTACATAAGCAATTTTTGCTCCCACTCTTAACACAGTGACGATGCAATTCATCCTGATTTGTTGAAATTCTATTAATTGCTCTTAATCTCTCTAAAAGAGTCATGTTCGAGTAAGGTACGCCTTTTAATTTTAGTTATTATTTAATCAAGGTGAAGGTATGTATAAGTTATGAAAGGTCATTTGTACCCCTAAAACTTATTTCCAAGAATGTTCGGAGTATTTGATAGGACCATTGGTTTTACATAAGTTCTACTAACAAATAAACGTGATTCTTTGAAAACTGGACTCTTTTTAGGACAAAAACAGATATTGAGACATGAGTTTTAATTAATATTCTGGGACAGAGCTTGTATAAAATAAGTCTGTAAGTTTGATACAAGATTTGAGCTCCCCATCTCATTCTAATGCTCTCTGTTCAAATTCTGTGCAGGGGCTCAAACAAGTGGTGCATTCCCACCACCTCCTTGGGAAGCGGAGGCACCAAACGAGGGTGAAACGAGTGGTAGTCCAGTGGCACAAGCTGTTCAAAATAATCAGGTTTTGGGAGGTAGTTTGCAGTCTGTGCATTCACCACAATCCAATCAATTTGTTGGTGGGAGTCCAAATGCCCCACAAATGCCAACAAATCATTTGGGAGGTAGCCCCCATGCTGCCACAATGCAAAACAACCCAAACACTTACGGTTTTCAATCTTATGTCAATGAGCAAGTTGGTGGCAGCATGTACTCTCAACAGCCCATGTTGGGGGGGTTTCACCTTCAGCAGCCAATCCAAAGCGGGGCATCAATGGGTATGTTTCCACAGCAAATGCCACCTGGTCAAATGGCATTTATGTATTCACAACAAATGTATAGCAATCAAATGGCTGCTGCTGGGTATGGATATGGTGGGTATGGTTATGGTCAACCACAACAGAATGCTCAGTTTATTGAGCAAAGAATGTCCGGCTTATCGGTTAGGGATGATGGTATTCCAAAGAGTGGGTCTGGGTCTTATCAAGTATCGGCTCCCTCTTATGTGCCAGCTGGAAAGCCCTCAAAGCCAGAAGACAAACTATTTGGAGACCTGGTTGACTTGACCAAATTTAAACCAGCAAAAGGTCCTTCTAGTTGACCTGGGATCATGTGAATGTTCTGTATGGAGTACTTATATCTTACAACATTTTGTCATTGTAACTGAATTATTAAAAAAAATCATTTTTTCTGAAATATTTGGGTGCGCTTATTTTTTCTAAACATTGTTTATTTTATATCTATTAGATGAGATTGCTTTTCTCATTGAACAGTTGTGTACATTTGCAGTACAGTAGAGAAATGAGATCCACAGGGGTGAAAGAAAATTATATAAAGACCCTCTGTTTGCTCAGATATGAGCATATTATATAGGAAAAATTGATAATCCCACCTTTCACTCATCTTCTCATAATAATTCCACCTTCATGTAATCCCAGAATAATCCCACATTTGCACCTCATCTTCTTTCATTGGACCTTTTTTTTGAAAATCTTATATAAATAATCCCACCTTTGTAGGTCATCAATAGGTTAGGGTCCAATGAAAGAAGATGAGGTGCAAATGTGGGATTATTCTTGGATTATGTAAAGGTGAGATTATTATGAGAAGACCAGTGAAAGGTGAGATTATTCTTATCAATTTTTCTGTTGATTACTGAGTTGTATTCAATGGTTTCTGTTTTTTTCTTCCTATTTGCAGAACTTCTGATACAAAACTTCTCAATTAATCACCTTTCCCATTTTCAATAATTTGTAGCTTTTGAAAAGTATGTAGGGAATTAGTCAATTAGGATGTTTTCTTTTGAACTGAAATTTGCTGGTCTGGTCTTTTTAAGTCTGGTCTGAATTGGTCTGGTTTGGTCTGGTAAACATCTGGTTTCTGTGTATTTTATAATTAAGAAATTATGGTCTGGTCTATTTAAGTCTAGTCTGGTCTGATCTGTTTAAGTCTGGTCTGGTCTAGAACTGAAAACAGTCCAAAAGAAAACATCCTTACTACTTATAAATTTGTAAGAGGACTTGTTGATGTGAAATTGCTCGGGTTTTTCACCGTTCTTTGTGTTTACGCTTCAGGGCATCTTTGACAGTTTCACTAGGAGAGAATTGCCGAGAGTAAAAGTAATCTCAAATTTTTAAATTGGAGCTACCAATTCATGAGTTTTTGGAGTAAAAGATTTATATTAAATCACTTTCAACTCAAAGACATACAATCATAACAAAATTCATGACATGGTAACTAACACTAGAATTAACACTAGGTCAAACACCCATATATATATATATATATATATATATATATATATATATATATATTTCATAATACTTGAACTCTCTCCACGCTCACCCTAGATGGGGCTAGTGGTGGACTCGTGTCGGGCCACCCGGCCTGAGGGAGAAACGGTTCTGGGCACGGTTCCTTCCAAATGAGACCCGACCCAGGGCCCGATTCGGGCCAAATTGTTTTTTTTTTCTTCATTTTTTTGGGTTCCATCCGGGTTGGGCTTGATGTTTAGGAGGGGTTTGGGGGGAAGGGGTTGGGGGGGGGGGGGGTCAGGGATACTTAAGAAAGCAAAAAAAAATAACCAAACCCGAGGCCCAGCCCGGGACCGGACCCGGTAGCTACCCGGGCCGGTCCCGGGCCCAACTATTCAGAACCGGCGGCCTACCCTTTCCTAGGCCCGGACCTGACCCGGCCCGAGTCCAACCCTAGATGGGGCCATCCACCCCTTCGTGCTCGCCTTCCTTTCTTGCGTCTATCTTTCAGACTGTCCTCCAACGCCTTCCGCTTCATCATAAACCCTAGTTGTAAACATGGGCAGAGCTAAGGCATTGGACCGGTACAAAAAAAATATTTTTGAATAAAATTTACATGAAATTGTTTACACTACAAATATAAACATTTTTAAATTTTGGGCTAGGCCAAGTGACGTGCACTTTGTCGTGTATGCACTCAAAATAATAATCAATACAACACTAATACGTAGTATAGTGTAGTAAGGTTCGTATCCACAGGGAAATGAATACTTATCTTTTTACAAAACTAGAAATAAGTAACGGGGGGGAGGGGTTAGTTTGATTTGATGAACTTAAATTATATTTAAACACGAAGATGAACGACTTATGTGGTTTACTTAATAGAGATGAAGACTTGGTTTTACTTTTATCCACTTAATGAAATGTTCGTCGATCCTGATTATATCTTTAACTATCTTCCTCTAGAATACTCAATCGAGGAGTATATCCAGTTCATCGAGGGTAGTTATTATTAACGAGACACGTTCATTAATAAAACTTACTACCGAGTTAATATAGAACACGCGTCGCGCCGTATATTAATCTGATAGTAGCAATAAAATCAAGATGAAAACGATTGAGATTGATAACCTCAACACAAGCGGTTTATTGGTTTAATCAACATGATTAATTCCCCTTGGTTTAATTATTAACCATGAAACACATGCATTAATAATTCAAGTTCACTACCATGAAACGATCGAACGATGAACAAGCGTATTCGTCGATCGATTCTAGTAATAATTAATACTCCGTATATGAAACAAAACCAGTTGATCCTTTAAGTAATGTTCAAAATATTAATATGAAATATGATTAGGAATTAATTAATACTCAAGGAAAAATATTAAAGAAGATGAATCCTACTATAGTTAATATCAAGATGTTAACTAATTGTCATCTTAGTAACCCTCCCCAATATTAACATAGAGGAAGAAATAACTATTACTATAACTAATGTCAATACATTAACTAATTGTCATCTTAGTAACACTCCCCAACATTGATATAGAAATAGTATTTAAAGAAAGAATAAATATTCAAGGAAGAAGATTAAAGAGAATAACACACAATTTACAAATTCATTAAGCTTCAAAGTAGCAAAACCAAGATGAAAGAGTTTAGCTCCTCATTTGGAGACTAAACATGATAGAAAATATAAAGAAAACACTAATCTAAACTGAGCTAAAGAGTATATGTGAATTGGTGATTTTACTGGGAATGAAAGGAGTGTATTTATAGGCTTTTGGGAGCTGCAGGGTCTGATACCCGATCGGGTATATAGGATACCCGACCGGGTATCTTAGGAAATTGCCAAGAATTCACTTTTCTGAGCATACCCGATCGGGTATGTGACAAATCTTCACGAAAATTCGCTCCCACAATCATTTGTTCCCGGATTTGATTTGGGCAATCGAATCAATCAAATACCCGATCGAGTATAGGCAATACCCGGCCAGTGGCTAATCGATTATTAGTCACTGATCTATTGTTACTTTCATGTTCTAATTTTGATATTTGGAATAAGTTAAGTAACACCGAAATTGGCTACTTCACCTGATTCTTTTGAAATTGATGAAATTTTGACAGAAGTGAGTGAATTGATTGAAATTGATTCTTTTGATTTATGGATGAATTTAGTTCAAATTATATATTATTAATGAAGTAAATAAAAGGTTATAAGAAAAGTGGTTAAAAATTATTATGTACAATAATTTCATCCAAATAAATCAATTTTTTAATAAAACTAAACTTAAATAGATCAATGCACTTAAAAAACCAATAATGATGAATATATATTTTCATATTTGCCCGTTTTTCCTTAAACATAAAGAATAATAAGTTGAAATAAATTTAGAAGTTTTGTTTTATTAGCACTCGATGTGTTTATCATTTCAATTTGCTAATTGTTGATATTCTCGAGTGACATTATAACAGGAAGAAATATGATTTGTAATAGTTTTATAGTTTAATGAAGAGAGTATAATAGAATATTAAAATAACATTAGAGTTTTACTAATCATAGAGTTGAAGAATTCAAATCATTCATTGTCTTCCATTTAGACCAACTCAAAACAGAACAAAATAGACCAACTCGATTTTTTGTAATTAGAACTAATTAGATTTTCATTTGCGGATTTTTTATATATCAAACCAGTGCACATCAAATTATAAAATACTTTAAGAAAGCTTTCTTAAATTAATTTTAATATTTTTAGATTTTTCCTTTCGTGGTCCGATTTTAATTTTAGAGACCGTTTAGAAGTACAGAAATTAGTTGAATCTGTTGAAATGGATGAAATACTGATAGAAGAGGTTGAATTATTTGAATCTTCTGGCGTATGGATAAGTTTAATTTAAGTTACTTTTATTAATTAAATAAAGAAAATCATTATCTGAATTTTAAGAATAATTATAGAGATTGTTAATAAATTATATTTTGATATATTCAAAATTGATCTCATATGTAAGATCACAAAAAATTATGAGTTTTGATTTATTTTTTTGTAAAAATTGGATTGAAAATGAAAAAGTTATAACACTTTAAAGAAAAACATTATATCAAATGTAGCTAAAAATGATTACTTACAATAACTTCCCCAATTCAGAGAGCAAAATAGATCTAAAAATGTCTATAAATAATTTTAAGCATAATTATAGAGACCGTTAATAAATTATATTTTCATATATTCAATATTGATCTCATATGAAAGATCACAAAAATTTATGAAGTTTGATATATTTTTTGTAAAAATCGGATTAAAAATGAAAAAATTATAACACTTTAAAGAAAATTTATGATCTAAACTTAAATAGATCAAAGCACTTAAAAACCAATAATGATGAATATATATTTTCATATTTGCCCATTTTTCCTTAATCATAAAGAATAATAAGTTGAAATAAATTTAGAAGTTTTGTTTTATTAGCACTCGATGTGTTTATCATTTCAATTTGCTAATTTTTTATATTCTTGAGTGACATTATAACAGGAAGAAATATGATTTGTAATAGTTTTATAGTTTAATGAAGAGAGTATAATAGAAAATGAAAATAACATTAGAGTTTTATTAATCATAGAGTTGAAGAATTCAAATCATTCATTGTCTTCCATTTAGACAATGAATGATAGACCAACTCGATTTTTTTTATTAGAACTAATTAGATTTTCATTTGCGGATTTTTTATATATCAAACCAGTGCACATCAAATTATAAAATACTTTAAGAAAGCTTTATTAAATAAATTTTAATAGTTTTAGATTTTTCCTTTCGTGGTCTGATTTTAATTTTAGAGACCGTTTAGAAGTACTGTTGAATCTGTTGAAATGGATGAAATACTGATAGAAGAGGTTGAATTAGTTGAATCTTCTGACGTATGGATAAGTTTAATTTAAGTTACTTTTATTAATTAAATAAAGAAAAACATTATCTGAATTTTAAGAATAATTATAGAGATTGTTAATAAATTATATTTTGATATATTCAAAATTGATCTCATATGTAAGATCACAAAAACTTATGAGTTTTGATTTATTTTTTGTAAAAATTGGATTAAAAATGAAAAAGTTATAACACTTTAAAGAAAAACATTATATC